GTGTGTGTGTGTGTGTGTGTGTGTGTGTGTGTGTGTGTGTGTGTGTGTGTGTGTGTGTGTGTGTGTGTGTGTGTGTGTGTGTGTTTCCCTCCCCTTCCCTCTAATTACCCCTACCCCACACCGGAATTGATTTCCCTTCAGACTGTTGAGGGTGAAAGGGTAGGTAGGTTAGAGGCTTTAAGTGAACGGTTTACCACCACAGCTCATTGGCGATTGAAATGCGAACCCTCTCACTCGGCAGGTGGAATGGGGCTTTGATGTATCCCATTGTTGGGTGGTGGTTGGTGGTGGAGGGCAGGGGAAGAATCAACAGCTGACGTAGTATTGAGGGCTCATCAGCAGAAACTGCTTAATTTCTCTGCTCTCAGGCAGTTTTGTGGAGCGCTGAATTTGGGGAAGTGGAACCAGGGCACCTAGAAGAAAGGGCTGGCTCTGCCCACAGTCAGGCCTGTGTGGTGCGGAGAAAAGTGCTCAGGTAGAGAAGGCTTCTCTCCATTTGCAGCATCCTCTTGCTTGAGGGAATGTGAGTTATGATGAAATCTCGTTCTTGCCCAAAGGGTGAGGGTGTGGGGTCCTCACCTAAGCAGGATAATCAGAGAAGTTCTGAGGGTCGTCACCCTTCATGGAAAGATCTCCTGCTACAGTTTCTCAGCTTCCGTCCTACCAAATGGTAGAATTCAACCAAACTTTGGTAGAACTCTACCAAATTCTATAGCAATGCACTTCAGCTAATTCAAGACGGTCTGAAGACAGAGATCACCAAAGTATCATGAAAGGATCTAAGTTGTAATTTAAATGTACGTCATACAGCATTTGTTTGTGTCAAGAAATCAGAGAAGGGTGATTGGTAGGAATTCTCCAAAAGCTGAGGGAGGGTTTTGGTGTAGAACCATACTGTCCATTGCTATAGCCGCACGTGGCTAATGAGCTCTTGAAATGTGGCCACTTCAAATTGAGATGTGCTGTAAGGATAATGTGTCCATGGAATTTTGAAGAATTAGTAAGAAAAAGGAATGTAAAATAACTCATTAATAATTGTTTAATATTGATTCCATGTTGAAATAATGTTTGGACATATTAGGGTAAATAAAATATTCTAAAATTAATTTCACTTTGAAAAATTATGTTTTTAAAGTGTGGCTACTAGAAACTTTAAAATTATAAATGTGTCTCAGATAGTATTTCAACTGGACAGCGCCAGACAGGATTTCATCTTAATTCTCATGTCTGCATACGATTCCTTTTTCCCACTAGAGGGAGATGTGTCCTAATTTGGGGGAGTCAGCTGCTTAGTTTGTAAACTTCACTGCTTTGGAATGTACCCTTTTAAAAAAGAAGCACTCGAGTTTTTGCTTTGTTTCAATTCTGCATAATTCTGTTGTTTCTGGAGGTTGCACTTTGTAGGAAAGTGAAGCCAAAACAGAGGAGGCAGGAAAGCAGAGAGGTTTTCCCCCTTGATTTTGTTAGCGTTCAAGAGAGACCTGTTACTTTGTTGGATTGTAGTAGCTTGCTGCTTGTTTGTGGGTTGTTCCCTTGGAACTTGAGTCTGTGTACAGCACAGCGCACACACACAGACACGCACACACACACACACACACACACACACACACACACACAACGTGGCCTGTGTGCAGCAGTAACAGAAAGGACCAGGGCAATCACACACAGCCACAGCACCTCCTGGACCTTAAGGAATTCAGTGTGAATGTGTCCTTTAGTTGCACCCTGTGGCACACTGGGCCCCAGTACTAGATGAGCTTCCCTTTTCTGCTTTTCCTGGGGGCAGTGTTGCCTGGGCTTTGAGGCTGGGGCTGCTGTTTGCATCTAGTGTGTGTAAATCTGCCCGTTGATCCTACTCTGAAACCAGCATCGTTTCATGATTATGTTTTAGTGATGCACTCTCTCCTGGTTTTCCTTTGATCTTTCTGGGTAGCTCCTTTGTGGTCCTCTGTGTTTTTTGTATGTTTGTTGGTCCGATGAGCACTGGATTTTTCTTTTCTTGTCTATGCAGTCTGTGCCCTTTTGGGTGATCTCAGCCATTCTGGAGGCTTCATTACTACCCTTATACTGGGGACTCCTAAGTCTTTACCTCCAACTGAGGCGCTGTTTTGAGCTCCATCCATGCCCATCCAGCTGCCTATTGACATCACATAGACACCCCAGACTCAGCCCCCATAGCACTCCTTACCTCCCATATCATGGCATTCTTCAGCCCCATTGTAATTTCTTATTATTTGTTTGTCTCTCTCATCCAGTGTACAGTAAGTCCCAGGAGAGCAAAAGCCTAGCCAATCGTGTTCTGCGTTACTCTTACTATTTCACACTGCGCCTGGTTATTGTTCACCCTTAGGAAGTATTTGAGTAAGATTTTAAAATATTTTTTGTTTTAAACCAATTGTACTGTTTACTTATAAGCATATGTATTACCATTATACAATTCCATCAATAATCTTGTTAGCTTTATATCACAGGGCTATGATCACCACCATTTTGTGGCATGGTCTATTTAAAAATTTTTTTCACCATCTGTACAAGTGGGGCATTTGCCCTCATCCCTCCTGTGCTTCCTTGTGCTGGAAGCTTTTGCGCTTAATCCCTCTCCTTTTGTGACCCTTATGACAAATTAAAGGGACATTTCCATCAGCCCCACCATGTATTTCCAGGAACTGAGGTCACAGAAATGAAGGAGTGTGACATGTTTCCATGCCTGTGGCTCAGTCCACGGGCAGCTTTTCCAGGACGTATTCCAGTTTCCTTTGGTACCTCTCCTGTTAAACCAAGCCCAGTTTCATTTGGATTCGTGACTAACGCACACTGTTTTTCTTGTCAGAACATGAAGAGGAACTGGACCAAGAATTTGACCTGGAGACTGGCACTTTATTTGGAGGATTAAAGAAGGTACAGAGTGGATCAGTGATAAACCTTTTCAATTTTCAAACCTGGTGTCAGTGTTTTGCATCACTTTTGTATTTGGCGTTGACCCAGCCATAGTACTCAGCAGCGACTGGACATTAAGTACCTTTCCTGCCGTAAAAGGTATAAGTGTGCCGTGTAGAGAAAGGCATTCCCCGTGCTTTGTCTTTATCTCATCCCATGTTCTCCTCTCAAAATACTAGAGATGTGGATCAGGAACCTTATCGGGTCATGCAGATTTCACTTTTGTAAAGTTTAGGAAGTTCCTTCCTGACCCAGCCATAGCTATTGGAATCAAATGTGGCTCCTGGACACTCCCTATACCAACTCATGGCAACTATGGAACTGTTTCCTTCCTGCCTCTACTGCCCCTGGCCGTCCACACCCTGCAGAGCATGCTGGGAATCCCCCGCCCCTCTGCTCCCTGGTTCCAGGTGGCAGTGGGCCATTTATCCTCTACTGCAGCTCATTGTGCCTGATTAGATCGCTGGCAGGGTGGCCGCTGTTGCTCTCCTAGTGGTGACGGTTAGCACTTCTGTTCTTCAGAGTATGTCATGGGTAGGTACCAGACCCTCCTCTTTTGATTGCAAGATGTTAGACTACTTTCTGTGTCCCACCAGAACCCCTTTCCTCTTGAGTCTGGAGTTTTTCTCATTCTTCCCCTTTCAGTTTTCCAGGACCCCATTTCAGTAATGACTTGGATCACATGACGTCCAGCTTCAGCTCATAGTTTGGGTTCAGGTCAACCCTAGTGAGGATCTGTGTATTTGTTTTTCTAGGCATTTGGATATGTTTAAAAAAATGATATCACACCATTGCTTTTTACTATTTTTGCTCTAAGTGTGTAGTGTGCCAGGTGTATTGTAAGTTTAATCAGCTTTTGTTGGTTGGCTTGGGGCATAGAATGATGCTTGCACTCCACGTTCTGAGCACCTGACTTACAAATGAACTTTGGAAGACAATTCGTTTCCAAACTGGGTACTGCCTGTATTGATATCTTCCTACTTTGAGAGTTACAGATCTTACTTAGAATTGAAGAAAATTGGCTTCAGTTTCCATTTGATTTTCTAGGGTAACCTGTCCCTTTTCTTCCAGCTCTGGCTCTGTACAGAGCCACCGTATTAAATACATGGCTTATGTTTGTCTGGGGCTGGGAAGAATGTCCTGCCCTGCATGATGCTCTTCCCAGTTGTTCTACCCACCAGACATTTCTGTGAAAAGTTGGATATAAATTTAATTTTCGTACATCGAATCCATTTGTAAATGTTTCTGATTTAAATAAGCCCTTTTTAGGATTATTAGTAAGACGTGTAATGTGGGTGGTATTGTGCCCACTTCAGAGATGAGGAAATTTGGGAAGCTTTATGTCACAGTGGAATTTGAGTTGTCACAGTGTTACAGAACTCAGGTTTAGCTGCTCATCGCTCAGGAATCCAATACTGAGATAAGTGTTGGGTAAAAGGAAAGGTAGCTTTATTGAGGTAGCTGTCAATCCTGGCGAGAAGGTGGACTCATGTCCCAAAGAACCAACTCCCCAAGTTTTGTTCAGAAATTATGTAGGGGAA